AATTTGAACTGACCTAAAAAAAGAAAAAAATCCTAAACAATCCTACAAAAAGGAAAGGACTCCCAAACTGATCTACAAAAAAGAAAAAAGAAACTGAATCTTCTCACAAAAAAAAAATCTGCTGGCCTATGAAATAAAAACAGGGATATATATAAATAAAAAAGAAAGGGGAATAAAGAATAAATCAAAAAAAAATATTTTTGATTTTCCGAAATTTTTGTAATTTTTAGCAAAAGAAAGTATGTATCTCAGGGTGGGTGACACGTTAATGTCATCATTCTGAACAGGTTAGCGTTACGCTTATGTTAATTTTAACGTTAACTTTTTGTTAATATAAGATTAGTTTTCGAGTGATTTCCTTTTTAAGATGCTAACTTTGGCAGCTAACAAATCTTTTAGTGGTGTAAATAAATTATTTTGAAGAGAGGTTCCGGATTGGTTGGAGGTTTCCTATTCAAGAAAAGTATCGGAAAAGCATAAATATGAACGTATACGAAGTATACAGATAGTACTGCGCATGATCTTCGTCAAGTTCGGAACCGGTTAAATGTTAACCGGTTAAAGCAATCCACTGGTCATGCATTCTAGTATTACAATAGCTAAAATTTTTTTTTTTGAACAATGTGTCACCAAGCCTTTATTTGATAAATTAAATATTAAGATGCATTCAAATAACTTGCATGTGAATTTAATAAGATGATGTCCATTGGATAAACTCCCCGGAATTCGAATTATTATATATAAAAAATTAAATTGTTTTTTTGTGAGTGTAAATTTATCAAAAAAAAAAAAATGATTAAAAGAAAATCAATTTTATTATTATTGGTGCCCTTCCTATTAAACCTAGTCTTTTGTGTCAATTTCATTACTGCAGCACAAAACGATATTTCTAAAGGAGTTGATATAGATCGCTCAAACATACCTAAAAATATTTTGTTTGGTTCTTTTATGGACGGAAGAAGTCATGTTAAACCAATGCTAGACATTGCTACGATATTGGCTGAAAGAGGCTACAATGTAAGATTTTTTTTTATTAACGTATCTTAGTCTTATCGGGTGTAATGCTTGGACTTTGCCCACGAAGTAAAGGTCGTTCCTTCGGAATGTACTGTTCTTGTTGGGACTATTGCTAAATGTGAAGTAGTATTACTATTGACAGGTTGAGTAACAATAGACGAAGTAGAGGTTTTTTTCCTTCCTGATTTTGGCTTTAGCTTCTCTTCGGAAGATTTTTTTGTCTTTTTTTCATCATTATGTGTAATCAAGGGATCTTCTGCTAAAGTTATTTTTTGTTGAAATGTATTATCATTTATTTGCTGCATTCGTGCACAATTAATCCACAAGTCATAGACACGACGAGATGAATATGATATTTTGAAGCCATTGCTTTTGCGGCATTGGGAATCCTTCCTCTGGAGTTTTTGATTTCCTGAATCGCTTCTGGTGATAATATCGTTGCACCTGCTCTATAAAACTCACCACTAATATGAGGCATAAAAGAGAAAGAGAAATACAAGTAATATATATTAAGTACCGAAAATTTTTAGAAAGCGTTAAAAATTATAGACTTCTGTTCTTTAAAAAGTGTAGATACATATCGCAAAGTTTTGATATTATCTCGTCCGATATTTCCAATCAATATTGTAAAGTTTCACTACGTTGCTAAGTATTGATAAAAACTGAAGCCTATTGATAAATATTGGTTTAAAAATTTTTTTCGTTTTTAGTTACAAAAGTTTTCATTACGATATATAACCAAGAGAAACACATGCCCGATGTACATACTATATGGAATTCGTCCACATTAGGTGAAGGGAAAAAACTGGGTAGTTCTCCAAGTAATAGATACTCAACCAATATACTTCGAAGAAAGGTTAAAGCCAAAAAGTTGCGTGATAGTACAAGCGAGGAATTAGATAAAGTTATTAACTATGCTCTATTTCTTGTAGATAGGTACGAGAAAATTAAGGGGGATTTTTGCTTATTGAAACAGCAATACTATAATATTTCTAATGAAACGTGCAATTGAGATGCGAATTAGAACAATCTATCATCATCAAAGAAGTTAAGTAAAGAGGTAAGCAATTACTAACCGACTCAAAGAATGTTTCGAATCTAGAGCGTCAGATATCATTTGATAAACAACACATCCAAAGTCTAACGACAGAGTTGGAAAGACTTAAGTCGCAGTATATTGTTATGCAAACTACTGCATCACAGCATGAGGCAAGTTTGATTATAGTAAAAAAGAAATAGATGTGCTTAATTCGAGACTAAAAGAATTAGAATCTGCCTTATCATTAAAAATAACGGAAATACATACCTTAGAATCTAAACTTTCGTCAAAGACATTGGAGCTGCAAAAATGTGAGGCGGAACTTATTCGAGTTATAGACTGCTAAAACTGAGTGTGGTGTTTACAAACAACATGCATCTGATATGACTGAACAGTCTTCGATAAAAAAATATCAGACGCAAATCCCCTTTTCAGAGAAACGGAATAAAGAAATGTTAGGAGGTAGTGTCACCAGATCATCGTTTTTATACTCTACTTCGGATAAACGTAACACAATAATAATTTTTTCCGTTCTCATATTTTGGATCTGCAGACATAAGATATACGGAAAATATATCTTAAAGGGAAGAACGTTTCTGACACAGAAAATCACTTCGTGGGCAAATCCCATGCGCAAATCAATATTCCATTAAAGGAGAAATTACCATATACGTTTAATTCTCCATCGGATAAAAAACTAAAACGCAACCGACCTTATGCAGTACCCAGAACACCTACGTTTTTACAATGATATTTATTCTTTTTAGGCAAAATTTCATGAAGTGAATTTATCTTAGGTTGCGAGAATATTTTATATGAAATAGCAAGAGGGTTGTATAATAATAATATTAATAAAATATGGAAAACAAAAAAAGAAAAAGAATTAGTTATAGAATTGTGGGAAACGTTATATTTAAATATAAGAACAAAAATATGGTTACACAGATGTAATGAGGTTATAGAAGAAGAGAAAAAGAAAGGGATAACAAAAAGAGATAAAAAGTTATACAATGAGAATAAACGGAAAAAAGATGAAAGTGAAGTTGAAAAGAATGAAATACATGAAACATATCGCAAAAATCAAAAACACTGAAAAAAAGAAAAAATGATATAGAAAAAATATAATAGTAGAAAAAATAGATAGATTTTGGTATGGACCACGGATTTTATCATCTCTTAAGCTAAGATAAACAGATGCATGAACCCAGTATTGTACATCTTAGTAAGCATAATATGGATGTTTCGATTGTTTCGTCCGTCGCAAATATGATGATCATGTACACCAGCTATTAGATTATGGTTAATATCAATTATCCAATTTTTTTTCCTTATGAAATATATTAATAATTTAAATATATATTCTTTCCTATAATACAATATAATTAATTACTGCGCTTTATTTCTATGGTTGATCACAAATTAATCATCTGATGTATCTGTTTAAAAAGTTTGTTGAGTCATGATATAAATATGCTGAGAGAATAACAGAGCCTAACTTGATTCTCGCATATGGCCGATAAAACTTTATCATATAAAGACTGGTTTCATTCTCTTTTGAAGAAAAATTTCACCAAAATTAGTTGAAAACGTTTTGACTAGACATAGTAAGGGTAGTTTGGAAACTCAAGAGTGTGAGGATATAGATCCCCAACTAAAAATTGTTCAACAAAAAATTTCGGGAAAAATTATTCGTGTTGTCATAAATAAAAGAGCTTCGCCCTGGAAGGTTGTAACCGCCTATACTACATCAAAAACAAAATATTGGAAAAATGACGACAATTAAAATGTTGACGATATCAGAAGAGCATTATCCTAAACCTTCAGTTCCTGAGCAACTTATATCACAAATTCAGGTATATTTGTAGATTAGTTTATTCTTTGTTAATTACTCGTTTACTTATTTTGTAATATTTTACATCAACCAGGAACAAGATGATGATATGCAAGCCAAAAATAAATTTCAAATTGATAAAAATGATTTAATCTTGTATGTATTACTAAATAATTCAGTATGAAAAAACCACGCACGTAAAATATTATTATACCATTCTGACATTTATATATTGTTTAGCTTAAGAAATGATCCAATTTACAGATATGATGAAGAAGTTGATATTTTTCAAATGTATTTTGCGAAGGAATCGGCCGGCTATAGCCATTCAGAAGAAGCTATTAAAAATAAAGTTCTTATATCTTATGATAATGATGGAAAGATATTCTCAGTCGATATTTTTAAAGCATCAAAGAATTTGTCCTGTCATTTGTACGATACTCAGATTGAGATAGATAACAAACCACCTTTAGTTATCTATCCTATCTATCATAAATTTCGTGATGAATTGAGGGTTTACTTCCATGGCTCCATTCCACCTACAATCAAATTTGAAAAATCTGAGGAAGAGGGCGTTGAAGTAGAAATGGATGATGCAAATAAAATTGTTGCTTTATTATTTCAAGATTCTAGTAAGAAAGTAAGAGAGGATTGCTAGAGCTATGGTGGTACTTAATTTTTTTATATTACGGATCTAATATAATTTACCAATTTAACGTAATAATAGATTCATGATCATATTCTTATCTGACGCTAAAAATTTCATTGTGATATTATATTACGTTAATTATTGTCACATGTAGTAAGTGCTGACTGCTGATGCATATTAACTAAGTATAAAGTTTGCATAAAAAATCTCTTTCCATATGAAAAGTTATACATTTATGTTATTTTTGATAAATGATTATGACAAAAGTCTGAAAAGACTGGTTATCCCAAAGATTCAAATTTAAGTGTACACAAAACATGTCAGGCGCAGTGGTGCATCACGTGATTTGAAATTCTTAATTCGAGAGCTTGGCACTTTTTAATGTTTAAACGAAGATATAGTGGCGTGTGCTACGGTATAAGACCACTTTCGTAATTATTTTTCTGAATTTTTGTGACGTCTACAAATCCACAGAAAATCTTTGCACATATAAATTATGGGAGAAATAGATTTATTAGGAGGGGAGTTACATCAAAAGGCTTTGTCACTATCGTAGCATTATATGATGGTTAAAATTTTATTTTTTATACATATTTTCTTTAAAAACAATCGCAAATTTAAATATATAGTTTAATTAAAATGAATTAGATAAAGAAACAAAAAATCAATATTGTAAAATGTAAATTCGTGGTGAAGCATTACTTTCCATGCCATTATTAGAATCACCAGATTCGTCTGTTTTCGAGTTTTCTAACAAACTTGTTATTTCTAATCCCATAACTCCCTGTGCTGAATCTGGATTAAGTTTTGTATCACTACGAGTTCTTATTTTTTTTGATTTAGGTAGATTTTCCTGCATCCTCAGATTCTGTGTCAAATTTTTGATCAAATTTCGTTTCTATTAAATAAAAAAATCTCATCATAGTTGACATTTTGGTTTTTTTAATTAAAATAAAGGTTTTTTGCTTCAAAGTGTTTTATTAGAAAAAAATAAAATGTTATTAAAGTATTTTCTTTTTCGAAAGTTTAACGTTAATAACCCTTTATTTTTATATCTTGTTTTTTGTCATTCTTAAAACTTTTAATAGGTTGAAATGAGAAGTAAATACAATAACATTTTTTATGTTTTTGATGGAAACCGATAAATATTATGATAAATAATATGATTTCAAATTTTTAACAATTTCACTCTAAATGAGAAAAATTTAGAAAGCGATTTTCATTTTTTGGATTTTTCAAAAAGTACATCATTTTTACGAAAAGAGAAATATTTAGATTAAAAATGGAAGGTGTTTTCCATTTCTAATGAAGTAAAATTCAAAAAAAGCTAGCTTCACCCGTACTAACAATATATGAAATTATCTGAGAGTTTTTTCGTCCAAATTGAGAATTATGGTTAGATAATTGCAACAACTAATCTATAAAAATGCTGAAAATACGCCCAATTTTTCATTTCGAGATATGAATATCAAATATATCAATAAACGTATACAATGGATACGTGAGCTAAATGTAAACACCTGTAGGAGGGGGTAATCATGTGATATGTAGGCATATAAGCGGAAAAAAAATGGGGCCAAAATGAGAACTCTCCGCAGGAGGGGAGAAAACAGGGAGGATGTAGGCATATAAGCGTAGCCCACTTCCAACTACTTAGTCACATGCCGTTTTATCTACAGTTAGAGTTTGGACGCACAAGGTAGTTTATCCAATTATAGTAACCCTTGTCTGACATCACCCCAGTTTTAAATATGGTAAAATTGGTAGTAGGTAAAAGGTAATGGTGGTGTATAATTACTCTTTCACTTGATCCATATAAAAAATGTTCATAACATTTTTTTCTCTGCTCTTCAACCCTAACCTGAGCTGGTATATCATTTCTGGCTTAAAATGATTTTTATTATTTCTATATCTAGCCATTTACGAAATACAAAAACTATGATCACATAAAATTTCTCCTCAGTTTTATATACTGTAATGCCACTATATAAGTAAATGTGGCCACGGGCATTGGGCGCGTCCTTACCTTGGTAAAAGTTTAGTACTAATATCTTTACGCAAATAGCCAAATAAGTTCCATTATATTTAAAAGATGATTCGGAATAAACAGTTTTTCTACAAAAATTTTATTTAAAGTATGGTTTTAAACGATTTTAAAATATGGAGGTGGTTGTACTAGTGTTGTACTTTACCTTTATACTATACTTGATAAAAAAAGGAAAAGAGATGAAAAAAGAAAGGAATAAGAAAAATATAGAGAAAGAGTAGCTACAGTATCTTAAAAAGTTTAATTAATTATAATCATCATGATGTCACCATTTTTGCCTGAGAACATGATAGCAATTACAGCACGCACTTAGTAAAATTACAAAAGTCATACCCATATATATATATTTCGAGTGCAATTTACAGATACCTAATTATTTGAAAAATTTGCTTTAATAATTTAAAAGAATGCACTTTCACAATTTATTTTAAAGATTTTCATAATTTCCGTTGCCCAAAATTGTGTTGTAATACCAAAAACCACGATATTGACTAAATACATTTGCGAAACTTAAAATTATAGTAGACGCAAAAAAACCCATTTCCCGCCTGCATAGTTATATAGTCACAATAGATCTATTTTTTATATTTTTCAAGCCATATAATTAATTCACATTTATTTTATTGTACACATTATAGGAACTTTACGCTCAAACTGATTGTGAAACATATATGATACTTTCAATTTTACAAAAAATTCCAGCAAAGTGAGATCCCATAACGGATATTATTAAGATTATCAGAACTATATTTATTATAGTATTTTTGGTTTAAAAGAAGTATTTATCAAATTATTGTATAGCAAAACCAAATAAAAATTTTTTAAATGTTCGTCCCCAATCTTACTACGCTTTGTGTAACGAAAATATCAAAAAATTAACACGTTGATTATAGGGCGGTAATCAGTGTAAGTTACTTCTATTGATCATTCATAAAATTTTGTGTATAGATTTGATCACATGCTCACATTTATTCGTATTGATTGATCGTCAAAACAAATTAAACTGATATGATTTTGAGCCGTGCAGGTTACGTAAGTTGGCGTACTTGTTTAGGTAACAAATATGTATTATACGCTACCATCTTGATAATAAGTCCAAATGAAGAATTCATTTTAAATTCTAATATGATCTTTCAATATTTCATGTAACTTATAACTCTTCTTGTCGACAAAATGTCAAGCGAAATAGAAAACGATTATATCGATTGGTTAGAAAAATCAATTTCAATTATTATAAATATTCTAATTTTGAAAGAAGGAAATAGGAGGTGGAGGTTTTGGAAATTTTATCGCGTTAATTGAAAAACGCCGATACCATTTTCGCTTGATCACATGCTCATTTATTCGTATTGATTGATCGTCAAACAAATTAAGCTGATATGATTTGAGCCGTGCGGCTACGTAAGTTGGCGTAACTTGTTTAGGTAACAAATATGTTTTGTACACTTTCCATCTTGATAATAAATCCAAATGAAGAATTCATTTAAATCGGATTTCAAATTCCAGATATCATTAACATGATCTTCAATCTATCATGTAACTTATAACTCTTCTTATTGACAAAATGTCAAGCGAAATAAAAAACGATTATATCGATTGGTTAGAAAAATCAATGTCCGAAGAATATTTCAATTATTATAAATATTCTAATTTTGAAGGAAGGAAATACATAGGAGGTGGAGGTTTCGGAAATGTTTATCGCGTTAATATGAAAAACACCGATACCATTTTCGCTTTGAAATCATTTAATATTAAATTTAATCTTAAAGAAGTTGTCAATGAGGTATAAATTAAGAAATCTTTGATATATAAATCATATATTGTAATTAATTTAAATTGATTCTTATTTAAAACGATTTAATTACAGATAAAATTGCATAAACGTGTTGATTTTCATCGAAATATTTTGCGAGTTCATGGTATCACGAGGATGGAATCCGGTAATAATTTTAAAAAAACCGTAGTTTAATACACGTATATTAGATTAATAATTAATTATTTACCATTTATAATTTATAACATTTTCTTGACTCAGATACAATTCATCAAGCGAACGAATACTCGTTGGTCTTGGAATACGCCGATAGTGGCACATTGGAAACTTATTTAAAGAAACACTTTAATGAACTTAATTGGGATGATAAATATCAATTAGCGCTTCAACTGGCAAGTGCCGTAGAATGTATACATAATTTAGATATTATACATCGTGATCTGGTATGCAATTATAAAATTGATTCACTATCTTATTATAAGTCAGCTCTCGATATAACGAACCTCTTATAACGATTTGTATCGAGGGATATTGACGTATTTGATTGGTTAAATGACACGTGATGAAAATTCTTTATATCGAGAGTAGACAACTGTAGTTAAGGTACTAGTTTTGAACTCTAATCAAAAAACTTTTTTTTAGCATGCCAATAACGTACTTATACATCAAAAAAATATTAAGTTGGCGGATTTTGGCTTATCAAGAAAAATTACTAAAGAATCAAGTAACACCTTACTATTTGGTGTTCTACCTTATGTTGATCCAAAATGTTTCAATGATGAGCAAAATTACGTTTTAAATAAAAAGTCTGATGTATATAGTATTGGAATACTTATGTGGCAAATTTCAAGTGGATGCAAACCATTTGGTACTTATAATCTCGACTTAGCTTTAGCGTTAGCTATACAAAATGGAAAAAGAGAAACAATTATTGATGGTACGCCTAAGTAATATAGTAGATTATATAAAGGTAAATTATTTGTTTATTCAATTGAATTGTTACGCTTTCACTTATTTTGATAACCATTTAATTAGAATGCTGGAAATATGAAGAAAACGAGCGCCCAAGTATACAAGATGTTGTTTCATATCTTAAATTATTAAACTCTTCTAAAGAAAATATCATCGAGGAAGAAAATTATTCAATATCGAATGACCAAAATTATATAAAATCAGGAGGTATAAAATCAGGTGAAGAGCTTAAAAAAACTGAAGAAATTAATACTAGTAATTCATCATCATTGGGGAATATGATATTAGAATTAGCAAAAGCTATTGACTGTGTAATATTATTTGGTAAGACCATAAATTCTTTAAGTTTCTCCAATTTCTTTTTTTCGTATCTATGATTAGAAGAATTCAATTCTAATTCGTTGGTATATCAGACTTAGAAAAATCTGAAATCAGTTCAAGTTCAGAAAATCAAAGTTCCGAACGCCTACATGATTTTGGGTTAGTAGATATATTTTATAATCATAAAATAGCGAAATTATGTTCAATAGGAATATTAATTCTATTATTTTTCCATTTATATAATTTTTCAAACTGGTCGTTATAGTTCTAAGGAAGATTTTAAATCAGAAAAATATCATGATAGCACTCATTCTGAAATTGTGACTGCAGAAAATCTTCTTCCACAATATAATCTAGCTTTATATTATGAAGATGGAATAGGAGTTAATAAAGATGAGAAAAAATCGTTTGAAATAATGGCACAATTGGCTGAAAAAGGATATCTAAACGCTCAAATTGTACTCGGAAATTATTATTCCAATGGGATTGGGACCGAAATCAATAAAGTGAAAGCATTTGAGTCATACAAACTAGCTGCAGAAAAAGGACATAAAGAAGCACAATATCAATTAGGCATATTATATGAACATGGAGAAGGAGTTGATAAAGATGAAGATAAAGCATTTGAAATAATGAGGCAATCAGCTGATAAAAGACATCCAAATGCTCAATTTCAACTAGGATATTATTATGCCACTGGAATTGGAACCGAAATTAATAAAGCAAAAGCATTTGAATTACACAAGATGGCTGCAGATAAAGGACATAAAGATGCACAATATCAATTAGGTATATTATATGAACATGGAGAAGGAGTTGATAAAGACGTGAAGAAAGCATTTGAAATAATGAGACAATTAGCTGATGAAGAACAGATGACAGCTCAAGCTCGACTTGGATATTATTATAATATTGGAATTGGGACTGAAATTAATAAAGTACAAGCATTTAAGTCATACGAGATAGCTGCAGAAAAAGGTCATAAAGATGCACAACATGAATTAGGTATATTTTATGAACTTGGAGATGGAGTTGATAAAGATGAGAAAAAAGCATTTGAAATAATGAGAAAATTAGCTGATGAAGAACAGACGACAGCTCAAGTTCGACTTGGATATTATTATTACATTGGCATTGGAACTGAAATAGATAAAGTAAAAGCATTTGAGTTATACAAGATTGCTTCAGAAAAAGGGCATAAAGATGCACAATATCAATTAGGTATATTTTATGAATATGGAGAAGGAGTTGATAAAGACGAGGAGATAGCATTTGAATTAATTAGTCAGTTAGCTAAAGAAGAGCATCTGAAGGCCCAAGTTCGACTTGGATATTACTATTTTAACGGAATTGGAACTGAAATTAATAAAGTAAAGCATTTGAGTCATACGAGATAGCTGCAAAAAAAGGTCATAAAGATGCACAACATGAATTAGGTATATTTTATGAACTTGGAGATGGAGTTGATAAAGATGAGAAAAAAGCATTCGAAATAATTAAAAATTTAGCCGAAAAAGAATATT